CACCGGCCTGTAGTTTGCATGTTCTCACTGTGTCCACGTGGGTTTCCTCCGGGTACTCCGGTTTCTTCCCACACTCCAAAGACATGCTGGTAGGTTAATTGGATCCTATCTATATTGGCCCTAGTATGTGTATGTATGAATGTGAGTTAGGGACCTTAGATTGTACGCCCCTTGAGGGTTAGGGACTGATGGGAATGTACAATATATTATTATTATTATACAGGATTTATATAGCACCAACAGTTTTGCTCAGCACTTTACAAAATAAAGGGAGACAATACAGCAACAATACAGTTCAATACAAGAGGGTTAGGAGGGCCCTGATCCTTGGAGCTTACAATCTAAGAGGGAGGGGCTGGTGGTACAAAAGGTAATAACTGTGGGGGATGGACTGGTAAGAGGAATAGAAGATTAGCTGAAGGCATGATAAGCTTTCCTGAAGTGATAGGTTTTCAGAGGTCGCCTAAAAGTGGGCAGAGTAGGTGATAGTCGGATAGATTGGGGTAGAGAGTTCCAGAGGATGGGGGAGGCTCTGGAGAAGTCCTGGATACTAGCATGGGAGGAGAAGACAAGGGAGCTAGAGAGCAGGAAGAGCGGAAAGGATGGTTTGGGTGAAATTTGGAGACAAGATTGGTGATGTAATTTGGGGCAGAGTTATAAAAATGACTTTATGTGTTATTGTTAATGTTCTGAATTTTATTTGTTGGGCAATGGGAAGCCAGTGGAGGGATTGGCAAAGAGGGATGGCAGATATGGAACGATTAGTAAGGTGGATGAGTCTGGCAGCAGCATTCATGATAGACTGAAGAGGGGATAGCCTGCGATGAGTTTGGCCAATGAGGAGGGAGTTACAATAGTCAAGGCAAGAGATAACCAGGGAGTGAATAAGCTGCTTAGTAGTTTCAGAGGTTAACAATGGCCGTATCTTGGAGATGATGCAGGGGTGAAGTCTACTGGGCTCTAGAGCAGTGGAGATGTGTTCTCTGGAGTGACCAATCACGCTTCTCTGTCTGGCAATCCGATGGACTTGTTTGGGTTTGGCGGATGCCAGGAGAACGGCACTTGCCTGACTGCATTGTGCCAAGTGTAGACTTTGGTGGAGGGGGGATTATGGTGTGTGGGGCTGCTTTTCAGGGGTTGGTCTTGGCCCCCTAGTTCCTGTGAAGGGGAACTCTTAAAGTGTCAGCATACCAAGACATTTTGGACAATTTCATGCTTTGTGGGAACAATTTGGGGTTGGTCCCTTCCTATTCCAACTACATAGACTATGCTCTACCTCTGAAGAAGTGCGTGCTCACGAAACGAGTCAGTTGGAGCCCAGGACGCCGTTGACACTACGCCGCCGATGCACGTTGAGGCCCGGTGGCCATCTTTGTATTTAAAGGGTCAGTGTGTTCACCCATACTTGGCACCATTGTGATTGTAGTATGCACCCATGCTTTTCTAATAAAGTCAGTTACCTACTACACTATGAGTATTTCCCTGTGTCTCCTGCGAGGAGCTTCTTCAACCTTTACAGCCCTGAGTGATTCCTGTGTCAGCTCCTGAGAGGGGGAACTACATCTTGGCAAAGATTTCTCTGACCTGCTGGACCACATCTTCACCACCACACGAGGGCGCTTGATCTTCATTCTTTCCAGCTATTCCCGTGATCAGACCAGAAAGGAGAGGGGAATCTTCAGGATATTTATTCACATGCGTATTACCTATACGCTTCTGGTTAGTGCGCATTTCTTCCCATAGACACCCTCCTAAACCTTGTGGACGGCCTTCCCAGAAGAGTTGAAGCTGTTATAGCTGCAAAGGGCGGGGCCAACTCAATATTGAACCCTACGGACTAAGACTGGGATGCCATTAAAGTTCATGTGTGTGTAAAGGCAGGAGGCCCAATGCTTTTGGCAATGTAGTGTATATTCAATGAATACATGATTTTTTATATAAACTAAACTATCGATAAACACTGTTACTCTGAGCAGTAAAGATATGAGCTATGAGGTCTCCATTCAAAACAGTGTTCTTAATTTTGGGTGGAGTTCACAGATATTTCACAAATACAGAGCAGGCACATATAATGGAAAGCATGTTCAGGTTTTATTTTAAACTTTAGCTCATACTGATGTTCTCATTATGATAGTCAGCTCTATTTCTGCATTGCGCTCCTCTGCCTGCGATATGAAGCATACACAGCAGCGGTCATTGGATGTCATGTCGCTCTGATTCACCCACTTTACATCTCTCATAAACACATTACTCGTCTCCCAGACTACTAACATTTCTGCTGGCAGAGAATGCCAAATTAACACTATCCAGACTCCAGTACACCATCTCTGGCTGCTTCTCTACTTCCCACTACAACAATGATAAATGGAGAAACTGTCATTAAAGCTTCCTAATTCTCCTTGGTCTCTGGCTGGTGTTAGAATTAGGAGGAACTCCAGCAAAACAGCTAAATACCCAACTGGAATACAGATACGTTAAAGTTTTAGATCACCTTTACAGAAAACTTGTGGATTAACTGCTTGTTTTTCTACCACCCCAAAGAAAGGTTAAAGTGTTCACCTTTACAGAAAAAAAATTAAAAAAGGTGAACTAACACCATGCAGCCCCCCACGGTCCCCACTGTACTTACCTCCAGGAATGCTGAGCTGTCAGCTGACCCAGGCGTTTAAAATCCCCATTCTTATTCGTCCTCTCTGGGCAGCTCTCCTGGGGTGGACCAGTGCAATTCACTGTGCAGGCGCTGACCAATCAGAATTGCTCTGGTCCATCCCAGAAGTGCTGCACATGGGAGCAGGAGAAGAGTGAGGATTTCAAATCCCCAGACCACTGATCAGTTGTGTGGGCACTGACAGCTTAGCATCCCCAAAGGCAAGTACACAAGGGACCCATGGGTGGGGAGGGTGTACAGCATCTGTTCACATTTTCGATTGTTCTGTGAAGGGTGGTAGAAAAACAGGTAGTTAATCCACTAACATTGTCAGCAGACATGTCTGTATACATTTCTGTGATCATGTTGCAGCAAATTTTGCACCGCATGATGCTTTTGGCAGATGACACCGCCGCCAAACGTGCCCTATTCAAATAAATGTGCGGTATAGTTCACTCACACTCCATACTGGAATTGACCACATGATTAGTAGGGTGCTGCAACGACTCCCCACTGGTCACAGCGTACAACGGAGATGAAATATGTCACCAGCATGCCGTCAAGCTTCTTTCAAAGGTGCAAAGTTTTTTAATATTGTATGATCACATAGAAAAGCAACATTTATCGTCGGCACAGGGACCCATTCTTAGGCGTGGAATCACTGGGGGGGTTGTAAAGGGGACAAAGGAAACTGCATGGAGGGGGATACAGGACACTACTTTGGGGGGCAGAGGACATTGCTATGGGGGAGCAGAGGACACTATAGTGGGGCAGGAGGTACAGGACTCTACTGTGGGGGGAGGGGGCAGAAGATATTGCTATGGGGGAGCAGAGGACACTACAGTGGGGGAGGGGTAAAGGACACTAATGTGGAGGGAAGGGGCAGAAGACATTGCTATGGGGGAGGGGTGACATGAGAGGAAGCAGAGGACACTGCTTTGTGTGGGGGTAGAGGACACTGCATGGGGGGTGGGGGGGTACAGGACACTACAATAGGAGAGTGCTGTGAAGGGGGCAGAGGATATTGCTATGGAGGAGCAGAGGACATTACAGTGGGGGAGGGGGTGATGTGAAGGGAGCAGAGCACACTGAATGGGGGAGGGGGGTACGTGACACTACTATGGTGGGTGATGTGAAGGGGGCAGAGGACACTGAATGGGGGAGGGGGGTATGTGACACTACTATGGTGGGTGATGTGAAGGGGGCAGAGGACACTGCATTGGGGGGTTGGTACAAGACAATACTGTTGGGGGAGGGGGGCAGGAGACACTACAGTTGAGGGGGGTGATGTTGAAAGGGCAGAGTACATTGCTACGGGGAGTAGGGGAAACTTCAGAGGGGAGGGGGGGGGGGGGTGATGTGAAGGAGGGCAGAGGACAATGCTGTGTGGGGGGGTGGGAACAGAGGTGGGTGATGCATGGGGGGGGGGGTACAGGACACTACTGTGGGGGGAGGGGCGCAGAGGATATTGCTATGGGGGGAGCAGAGGACGCTATAGTGGGGGAGGGGGTACAGGTCATGACTTGGGGGGATGTGGGGCAGAGAACATTGCTATGGGGGAGCAGAGGTCACTGCTTTGGTGGGGGGAGGGGTTAGAGGACACTGCATGGGGGGGGGAGGTACAGGACACTACTGTGGGGGGGGGGGGCACAGGATATTGCTATGGGGGAGCAGAGGATGCTACAGTGGGGGAGGGGGTACAGGTCCCGACTGTGGGGGGGGGTAGGGGGCAGAGGACATTGCTATGGGGGAGCAGAGGTCATTGCTTTGTGTGAGGGGAGGGGTTAGAGGACACTGCATGGGGGGGGGGGGGGGGTGTATGGGACACTACTGTGGTGGGTGATGTGAATGGAGCAGAGGACACTGCATGGGGGGGGAGGTGGTACAAGACAATACTGTGGGGGGCAGAAGACACTACAGTGGGAGAATGATGTGAAGGGGGCAGAGGACATTGCTATGGGGGAGCAGGGACACTGTATGGGGGGGGAGGGGTACTACTGTGGTGGGTGATATGAAGGGGTGCAGAGGATACTACTGTGGGGGGAGTGATGTAAAGGGGGGCAGGGGGCACTACTGTAACACTATGTGTTCTTTATGCTGTCTTTTTATGGGGGGGCTTGATAGTTAGGTTTTTTTATTTTTGTTTTTTTTTTTTGTGTTGTGAAGTTATATCTCAACCTCTGAAAGGTTGCCTACCCCTGAGCGATTCCATGCAAGGGACCATGATTAGCTGTGGGAGCGGAGAGCCTCCCATTGGTTTTAATGGGGTGTTGGATATTTGCTGTGCAGGTAAATGTGGAAACAAATATAACAATAGACTTCCAGCAGTTCTACTAGTTGTACATTTACTTACCAATGTCATTAGCCAATGATGCTGGATCGGATGCCCCAAATGAGGCCTGAAACTCCTCTTGAAGGCGGTACGCACGTTGCAGTAAGGCTTCCAGTTTATGGATGAATTCAGCACTTATGATATCCTGGAAAAACATTTATTGGTAAGGATGTGCTAATATCATAAAATATTCATCACCTAGATTGCTTGCCCCCTGTGCATCCAATATTCTAATCTGAATATATACATAACTGGCAAAGAATAAAGACGAGGCAATCAGTATTTCCATGTGCACATTCTGTGAAACACTGCAAAGAACAACGATGGTGTGCTAACAGCGGATAACGATTGTAACAAATTAGATTTGAATTGACTTAAAAGTGACTCTGTTGCTAAAATAAATCTGAATATAAAAGGGTCCCCTAGATAGAATGAAGAGAAATCACTGCCCCAACACTTCTCAGTATTTGACACTTCTGGGAGTGTCAATTTTGTGGTCCCCTGCTGCTGTGAGTGGTTTGATCTGCTTGATCTCTATACCACAGCTGTGTCTTGTAGTAATGGAGGGGTCTGGGGAAGAACCAAAGAAACACAGTAGGGGACCAGGATCAACACCCTTCCGAAGTGTCCATCTCCAGACCCTTTCCTATTCCTAAAACAAAGTTTTTTCCCAGTAGTTATGCAGCCCCATGAAAACATGTTGAATGAGCAGAAGGGGGTCTGGCTTGCACCACTTGCAATAAAGTTGTAGCCTTTTTGTATCTTTTGTTGAATGTCAGATTCACTGCCCTATAAATATACCCCTATGTGTACACAATGCCAGGAACATAAAGGCCTCTGTCCAGATAGCTGGATTTACATTATGGAGATTTACTGGAGCACTCAGAATCTGGTGCAGCTCTGCATTGTAACCAATCAGATTCCAGCTTGTTCAATTAAGCTGTGACAAGTAAACGTGGAAGCTGATTGGTTTCTATGGAGAGCTGCACCAGATTTGCACAATGCAGTTTTAGTAAATAAGCCCCAAAGTGTCATCCCTATGTCAGCTGGAAGTGCTGCGAGACAGGAAGTCGTGGAATATGACCCCAATGGGGACATCGAACGCAATGAAAACTTTTACTAAAAGCAGGGAAGGATTAGAGCAGCAGTTCTCAACCTTTTTTAAAACATACACCCTTTAAGTGTATGCAACATTATGAGGTACCCCGTCTAAAAGGTGAAATGTTACTTATCAATAAGAAAGCCTGACCCTGTAACTATGTACACAGCCACCTTAATGAAACCAATTCACATAAGAGGTGCCCCCATCACACAGAAGCCCCCCTTCACAATAAGATGCCTCCATCACATCAGAAGCCCACCCACATAAGAGGTGCCTCATCACATCAGAAAACCCCCCTTCACATTCAGATGCCGCCATCACATCAGAAGGTACCCACCTTCACATCAAAGATGCCCATCCATCACATCAGAAGCCCCCTTCACATAAGAGATGCCTCATCACATCAGAAGCCCCCCTTCACATATCCTCCATCACATCAGAAGCCCCCTTCACATCTGAGGTGCCCTCCATCACATCAGAAACCCCCTTCACATCAAAAGTGCACAGGGGTAAACCCCCCTTCACATCACTGCACATCAGAAACCCCCTTCACATAAGAAGTGCCCACATCACATCAGAAACTCCCCCTTCACATCAGGGTGCCCCACATCAAATCAGAAACCCCCCTTCACATCAGAGGTGCCCCATCACATCAGAAACCCCCCTTCACATCAGGGGTACCCACATCACATCAGAAACTCACCCTTCACAATCAGGGGTACCCCCCCCTTCACACATCACATCAGAAACCCCCCTTCACATCAGGGGTACCCACATCAAATCAGAAACCCCCCCTTCACATCAGAGGTGCCCACATCACATCAGAAACCCCCTTCACATCAGGGGTGCCCCACATCACATCAGAAACCTCCTTCACATCAGGGGTACCCACATCACATCAGAAACCCCCCTTCACATCAGGGTACCCACATCACATCAGAAACCCCCCTTCACATAGATGTGCCCCCATCACATCAGAAACTCCCCTTTACATCAGGTACCCCCATCACATCAGAATCCCCCCTTTTACATCAGATGCCTCTGTCACATCCCCCCCTTCACATCAAATGTGTCCCTGCCACATCAGAAGCCCCCCTTCACATCAAATGTGTCCCTGCCACATCAGAAGCCCCCCCCCACACACATCAGAGGTGCCCATCACATCAGAAACCCCCCTTCACATCAGGGTACCCACATCACATCAGAAACCCCCCCTTTTACATCAGAGGTACCCCATCACATCAGAAACCCTCCTTCACATCAGAGGTGCCCCCATCACATCAGAAGCCCCCCCCCTTCACATCAGAGGTACCCCTGTCACATCAGATGTGCCCACATCATATAAGAAACCCCCCTTCACATCAGATGTGCCCCCCATCACATCAGAAACCCCCATCACATAGGATGTGCCCCATCACATCAGTAGCCCCCCTTTACATCAAAAGTGTCCCCCCACATCAGAAACCCCCCTTCACATAGGATGTGCCCCATCACATCAGAGGTGCTCCCATCACACCAGAAGCCCCCCTTTACATCAAATGTGCCCGTCACATCAGAATCCCCCCTTCACATCTGATGTGCCCCATCACATCAGAAGCCCCCCCCCCCTTCACATTAGAAGTGCCCCCCATCACATTAGAAACCCCCCTTCACATCAGAAGTGCCCACATCACATCATAAACCCTCCTTCACATCAGAGGTGTCCCCATCACATCAGAAACCCCCCTTCACATAGGATGTGTCCCCCATCACATCAGAAGCCCCCCTTCACATAGGATGTGGCCCCCCACCCCATCACATCAGAGGTGCTCCCATCACATCAGAAGCCCCCCTTCACATCAGATGTGCCCCCCATCACATCACATCCCCATCACATTAGAGGTGCCCCCATCACACCAGAAGCCCCCCCCCCTTCACATCAAAGGTGCCCCCATCACATCAGAAATCCCCCTTTACATCAGATGTGCCCCTGTCACATCAGAAGCCCCCCTTCACATCAAATGTGTCCCTGTCACATCAGAAGCCCCCCCCTTCACATCAGAGGTGCCACCATCAAATCAGAAACCCTCCTTACATCAGAGGACCCCCCCAAATCAGAAGCCCCCATCATATCATAACCCTGGCTTCATGTCAGACATTCCCTTTCATATCAGAGTTCACCCTATCACAACAAAAGCCTCCTACATCAGACGCCCTTCATGATTTCAGAGTCCCCCATAACATCAGAGTCCTCCCTATACATCAGAAGCCCCCATAACATCAAGGTTCCCCCTTCACATCACATGCCCTCCTTCAAGTCAGAGGCACCCCCCCCATCATATAACCCCCCTTCATGCCAGAGGTTCCCCTTCATGTCAGAGTTCACCCTATCACATCATATGCGTCATTCCCCCTCTCCCCCCCCCCCCCCTCACATCATATTGGAGGCTCTCTTATATATCAGAATCTCACAACACATCAGAGTCCCCTTATCATATCAGAGTCATTTATTGTCATGGTGCGGGTGAGCCAGCCATCTTCACCACAGCAAGCATATGACTGACTATCGGTGCTCGTGCCTAGCCAGGGTCCACCATGGCAACTCATGATGCTGATCCAGGGCAAACTGGATCTTATGCTCTGCAGACCCCGGGGGGGGGGGGGGGGATCCCAACAAAACCCTGTTGAGGAGCATGGGATTAGAATGGGCACAGAAAGTGTGTGGATCTTTCCGAAGGGGACACAAACAGAAATTAAAAACAAATAATAATCATAATAATTGAAACCCACAACAGTACAATCAGTCTGTGTATGCAGCCAAGCATGCTAGTTATACTCACTGTGGAACCTAAGGGGTTAATCCTGCGTGCTGTGTAAAAAGGCTGTTTGATCCTGTCTTCTCTGATCCTCCCCTTCTTCAACAGTCCCCCAACTCACCTGCTGATAATACAGAGTCCTAGAAGGCACTTTGCACATACTCAGTTTGGTGTGTGTTGCTAGAGAGTTTTTTTTGTTTTGTTTTTTTTAATAGAGGGAGCATCAGCACAGGACCAATCAGCGCTGTCCAGACAAAAGGTCAGGGGTCACGCAGCCTCAAGGGACAGTCAGACGAGAATGAAAACTCCTCCGACAAGCTTTAACCAGTGCTCTGCTAGACACTGATAGAAGTCACAAGACTGCTATATACTGCTGATGAGACATGGTATTTAGCAGCTCATATATAGCACTACCCCAGCAGGAGTTGCTGAGTTTTGGGTCCCCCTATAGTCCTGCAAAGTCAGGCAACACACATTTTCCACACAGACTTGCATCCAGGATACAGTAACCAATCTTTGGTTTTTTTTTTTATTAGGGGAATTGAACTTGGATTGGGTAAGAGATATATGGGACGGGAAGGAACGACAACAGGTGACAATCTCCCTGGAAATATGTACAATTCTCTTTGGACAGCAAAAATTCTCTTCTGAGATTCGAGAGAGGTTGCGGGCTGCTTGATGGTGCATGGAGAGCCTGACTCTCATTCCGGGGGTTGTCCAGAGCGGTGAAGGTGTCTTTCTCTCTTTCACCGTGAAAGGGGGGTGGTATTAGTGGAAGGCTCTCTCAGGGGGGTGGGCAGGGGTGTTGTTGGTCAATGTCAGGCTCTCTTCGTGGGGCGAGCACCCGATTTTCGTGTTGCCTAGGGCAGCACAAAAACCTAAATACACCACTGCTCTCACTTCATCTTCCACTGGAATTCTCCCGCTGCTGAGCAGGCTCCACCACATTTGAAGGCTGCCTGGCCCATGTCAAGCCTCCTGCTTGGGGATTGGCCAAGGTCCTTCATGTGTGCAGGCCAGCCCCTCCTCACCCCTGCCCACTGCTTCTTGAATCTTCTCCAAGATTCTAGAGCAGGGGGGAGGTATCAGGGAATTGGCCTGCAGAGCCTCTCAGCTCTGACCTGAATTTGACTCCCCTCTGATTATCACCACAGGCTGCAACTCAGGCTCTAACAATTCAGCACTAGCTCCCCCTAGTTATCTAAGAGGGTGCTGCATATATTTACTAAAATAATTGCATTTCCATGTTGTGTGTACTGTGAGAGACCAGATATAGTGAATGCAGGGTCCGGGGAGACCAGATATAGTGAATGCAGGGTCCGGGGAGACCAGATATAGTGAATGAAGGGTCCGGGGAGACCAGATATAGTGAATGCAGGGTCCAGGGAGATCGGATACAGTGAATGAAGGGTCTGGGGAGAGCGGATATAGTGAATGCAGGGTCTGGGGAGACCGGATATAGTGAATGCAGGGTCCTGGGAGACCAGATATAGTGAATGCAGGGTCTGGGGAGACCAGATATAGTGAATGCAGGGTCCGGGGAGACCAGATATAGTGAATGCAGGGTCCAGGGAGACCAGATATAGTGAATGCAGGGTCTGGGGAGACCTGATATAGTGAATGCAGGGTCTGGGGAGACCTGATATAGTGAATGCAGGGTCCTGGGAGACCAGATATAGTGAATGCAGGGTCCGTGGGGGGACCAGATATAGTGAATGCAGGGTCTGGGGAGACCAGATATAGTGAATGCAGGGTCCGGGGAGACCAGATATTGTGAATGCAGGGTCCGGGGGGAGACCAGATATTGTGAATGCAGGGTCCTGGGAGACCAGATATAGTGAATGCAGGGTCCGTGGGGGGACCAGATATAGTGAATGCAGGGTCCGTGGGGGGACCAGATATAGTGAATGCAGGGTCTTGGGTTTAGTACCACTTTAAATCTGAAGTTTGGCAAGACTTGTCCTGTAGGTTATGATAAGGTTTACTACGTCACGCATTAGTAGAGCATGTGAAGGGCTGAAGCCTTACCTCTACATTTTCCTCAGCAATAGCGTCTCCTGCCCCCAGCCTGATGGAACTGCAGCTGGCCTCATCTTCAACCTGCCTATTCCGGAAAGTGAGTGCTTGCTCCCACCGACGCAGGGCCTCTTCAAATAGTTCCATTCCTTCAGCACAATGAAAGACAAAGGAATTATAGAAAATATAAAAAAATATATAAACATCTCAGCACATCTCCTGTACTAAAGAAGGATCCAGGAAGCCCCATCTGAAAATAGTAGCTTCTGGCTGTCATACTCAATGGTACTCTCTAAGTCACCAAGCGTTACTGCCTTGTGGTGCCATTCATTTTGAATGGTGCCCCAAAGCCACAAGGCAACGCACCTGTGGTGCAGGACATAGTAGTGGGTTACATTACCAAAAAATGGTCTCAGCCAATTTTCTGCATTTTAAAGGTGTGCTGGAAACCCATTTATTTAAATTGGCTGCCCTAACACAATGCACATTAATGCGCAACATTACATGCTTTACTGCACTGCAAAGAGGTAGAAGGCCCCTGCAAGGAAATCTATAATGGTATGAGGTCAGATGTATTTAAAATTTTGTCTTAACTTTATATGTTGTCAAAATGAGAAAATGCAAAGCATTCTCTGAATAACCCACGTGCTGAGCGAGCGACCTCCTGTGTTCAGTAAACAGCAGGGCAGCCGCTTGGTACGACCTGGACTCTAGTGGAGAATACTACAGTAGTGGTACCTACTACAGTAATTTCGAGCTTTCCATTCGAATCTCACATGTACGGCACATGCATACTTACAGTACATTGGTCCAAGCTGGACCAATCTACTTAGGTACAATTTGCCACACGTAAACCTCAGCTTTAAAGTAAAAACTCCTGTAAAAGGATTAAATCCTTGAAATTAAAGTAAGCATATCATTCTATAGTGTGTTCTTTTCTCTATCTAGAGCACTAAGTGTCATTTCTGTCTGCTGCCTTGTTCCTCTGCTATCAGCACAAGTCACATCTGACAAATTTCCTGACACCAAGTAAAAAAAGGTGACAGGGGAGGAACCTCCAGCATGCAGTCTGTCATTGAAAGCTTGAGCTCTGTTCCCATTTGATGTTTGAAAGAGGGTGTGTCCCTTCCCTTCAATCAGCTTTCACTGAGTTCTGCAGATTTTAACTTCAGTTCTCCACCTCCTGCTTTCTGAAAGCTCAGACAAGCTGTATAAATGATGTAATTTGAACAGGTGTAGAGAAGAGAGGGCTACAGATAAAACAGGTACAACTTAAGTGGGGAGATTTGTTTCATCATCATAGTTTTGGACCATGTCTGTACAGTGCTGGACCTAATTGTACAGCATACCCATCAAATAGAGGTTCTCTGGAGTGGTGACTGGGATGTTTACAAGCTTCATCTCCTCTTCATCAGTCTTATCCCAGGAGTTGGAATTGATGCAGGCACAGCTGTGACAAGAGTTGACACTTCTGACCTAAACAAAAAAAAAAAAGTATAAATAAAAACACACTTACACACACTGATCAGTCATAACTTTATGACTGCCCCCCTAATACTCAGTAGGCCCCCCTTTTGTTGCTAAAACAGCCCCGACCCCTCAAGGCATGGACACCACTAGACCTCTGACAGTATGCTGTGGTATCTGGCACCAAGTTATCAGTAACAGATCCACTTGGCAACTGCCCTATAGCAGTCTTACTGCTACAGGGTAGGCGCTCTGCACAGAATCACATATATATATATCACACTTTAGATTGTACGCTCCTTCAGGGTTAGGGACTGATGTGAATGCACAATGATCATGTTCTGTGTAATGCACATATAAATACTGTATAATAATACTGCAATATATATATATATATATGGTGCTATATAAACCGCAAATTGAAACACATTCTGCATTGCAGGTAGGGGGTGCACACCCCTCCCCTGGAGATAAGGTTTTAATTAATTAGTTTGTTGCTAGCACAGCTGGCTGTTGAAAGCCGCCTTCTGAGCAGGCTGGGAACCCGAGTGCTACAAACGAGAAAAGGGATGGGGAGAGAAGCGCCAAGCCACCAATAGTGTAGGAAATTTTATTAAATGAAAAGTGGTAAACAAAAAATAAAAAATAAAAAAAACCCAATAAATTATGCACTCACAGACATCGCTGTTAATGAGCACTGAATCAAGCTCCAAATGGAGACATCAGTCCAGAGTCCAGTCCAATCAGTGCCATTGTCAGGACTACTGTGAAGCCGGAGCAGGGATCCAAGCAAGTTGCTGGGGACCCCCTATTGGAGACCAGATCTGTCAGAGAGCTGTCAAGCCGAGGCTGATGAAGGAGGTGCGATCTGGGCTCTGAAATGCGTTCTGAATGGTCACAGCACCCTGGACATTTGACAGCTCCTTGGACAGCTCTGATCTCCATCGGGAACTCCCCGGAAGCTTGCATGGATCCCTGCTTTGGCTTCACAGTACTCTTGACAGTGGCACTGATGTGGACTAGACCTTTGAGACAAATGAAAAAGGGTATAAAAGCAATAATTGTGCACCCGCTGGTAATGAGCATTGAATCAAGCTCCAAATGGAGACCATTTGAAGCTTGATTCAATGCTCATTACCAGCGGGTGCACAATTATTGCGTTTATAACCTTTTTCATTTAATAAAATTTGCTACACTATTGGTGGCTTGGCGCCTCTCTCCCCATCACTTTTCCCTTTTGTAACACAGATCTCTCTCCTGTCAGTGGGGACAAGCTGGTTTTTATCTCTCTGCAAAGCAGGTGGATAAAAACCAGCACCTTTCCTAGTAAAATACTGCATAATACACAGTTAAATCACTCTCTACCACACAGTTAACCCTTTGATCGCCCCAGATGTTAACCCCTTCCTGCCCAGTGTCATTAGTACAATGTCAGTGCTTTTTATTTTTTATTAGCAATGATCACTGTATTAGTGTCACTAGAGATGTCAGTGGCAGTTAGTCAGTTCCCACACAGTGTCAGTTAGTGTCAGAATATAAAAGAAGGTGCAGCGCTTATATATTTCAAACCAATTAATAGCAGGATATAAAAAATGCAAGATATAAAAAATATGCAAGAGTTTTGTCAGAATGCCTGCCTTACTATCGCAATCGCACTATAAGTCACTGATCACCGCCATTACTAGTATAAAAAAAAAAATTCCAGTATATATTCACTACCATTTGTAGACATTATAACTTTAATGCAAACCAATTAATAGCAGGATACATTTTGGCCCAAATTTACCTGAAGATATTTAAATTTTTAAATAGTTATTTTTAGACGGGTAAACTTTAGATTTTAAAGAGACCCTTTCACCTATATAAAAATGTTGCAGGTTAAAGCTCAGAAAAACCAGGTTCTTCCTAATTTTCAGTTCTTACATGCAGTGTTAACCTTATGTCTGGGATTACCTGGATCTACCCCTACTGCTGTAATTTTTCACACATTGAGGTGTGGTGTCTGCCCATGAAAAAAAGAATGGGCTGTCTTTGCGCAGCGTGTTTTCTGTGTTGATTTAATGCATGTCCATTAACACAGAATACAGTGCGGCAGGTTCTTTTTTTTTTTTTTTTCGAAAAAAGTAATGATGAATTTTTTAAAAGCAAAAATGAAAATACACTTCTAGATAAGTTTCCACTTGTGGAATACCAGAACACTTTGAGACTTACTGAAGCCAAACTCTGCTGAGATCCTGAATTTTTACTGTTCAATCCACCATTCATTTGTAACTGGGAACCCTTCTCCTTTACTGAACTCAGAGACAGCGTCAGATTCTGCTTACTACTCGAACAACTGGAATCTACGGAGAAGAAGAAAGAGTGATTGTAAGGGGAAAAAAAAAAAAGAAAAAAATAAGAAGGGAAAAAAAAGGGGGAAAAAAAAGGGGGGAAAGGGGGGGGGGGTAGAGGAAGAAAGAAAAAGAAAAAAGAAAGAAAGAATAGGAGGTGAAAGAGTGAACCATAAGAAGAAAGATAAAGAAGGAGAAGGGCAGACAGAGGAAGCAAGAGAGAAAGAGAGAGAAAAAGAAAAGGGCAAGAGGGAAAGGGAGAAGAGGGAGAAGGAGAGAGAGAGGGCAGAGAGAGGGAAGAAGAGAGAGGAGTAAGCGCCGGTTCACTCCAGGATTGCATAGGAATGTGTGGACTACAGAAAAAGTAGAGCTTGCACTACTTTTAAAAACACACTGCACCAACTTGTACGGTATTGTAGTACCATGCGATTTGGTGCCCACAAATGTACTGCATTTGCCATCTGGGTTTGGAGTGCAATTAACAAATCAGATCGCAAGGGCAGCGTGTTCACCATCGGTACAGGAAACACACACAAAACGCACCTTTCCCGCACCGCATTCTGGTGTGAACTGGCCCTAAGGGGAACCGAGAGAGAGACAGGCAGACAGAGAGAGAAAGAAAGAGCAAGAAATATAGAGAGAGGGAAGGGCAAGACGGGGAGGTAAAGGAAGTAGTGTGGTAGACAAAGAAGAATGGGAAGAGAGAAGAGTGCAGAGACAGAAAAGGGGGGGGGCAGAGAAAGAGAGAAATAAAGAGATAGTAGGAGATAGAAGGAGTAATAGAGAGAACCATATTAGATTTGCCAATATACCAATTCAGTGTTCACCTAAATAGAGAGATGAAATACATACCTGTGAACGGTTTATTCCGTCAAAGGATTTGTAATCCAGACCATCTAGTCCAGTGATCAGTTGCAGCCCTGCCATACAACATAGCCAGATACTGGGCCTCCACATTGGCAACACAGTCTGGTCCAGAACACATCCTCATCCTTCTGGTGGACAATGAAGGAGCAGCAGCAAACAGTTGACCCAACAGTCTGCTCTCCCCTTCTGTCCTTGAATTCACCCTCCATAGATAAGTTCCATCTGCCCATTCACCCCTATTCTATAAGACAGAGGTGGGCAACTGTGGCCCTCCAGCTGTCATGGAACTACATGTCCCATGAGGCATTGAAAGGCTGACAGTTGCATCATGACTTGCAGAGGCATGATAGGACTTGTAGTTCCACAACAGCTGGAGGGCCACAGTTTGCCCACCCCTGCTATAAGATATGACCAATGGGGCACTCCTATTATAGAGAGCGATGCTGGGTGTGGCCAAATCCTAGGGGCAGAAATGAAGAAAGTTGAACCCCTAAAAACAAAAAGGAAATTAGGATGTCATAGGGCCAAAATAGAGGCTTTTCTGCCAAAGAAATCTAAAGGTGATCTACATTTAAACGTTTATAGTAGTTGAAAAAGTTTAAAAAGGAAACCTGTACTAAAAAGGAATATAGAGTTAGAGCTTCTGATTTACGTACATCAGGGCTGTCTTAATTCATGGGCACCCCTGGGCACTGCCCAGGGGCCCCAGGTGCATGGAGGCCCCATGATAATCTTGCATTACATTATACTTGCCAGCTGTCCCGGATTTGCAGGGACAGTCATGCTTTTTATTAAGCTGTCCCGGAATGGCTCGGGCAGCATCCTGTACTGTGCCCTCCTGACTCCCCCTGTACTGTGCCCTTCTCTCTCCCCCCCATACGGGTCCCTTGTGTTGATTAGTCTTTGATTTATGGCATGTTTGCTTATGGTTTTAAATTAATTTAATTGAAAGTACTAATAAATACGTGTTTCATTCTATCAACTATGTATATCTTAATTCTTGAGAGTCGTTACATAATTTAGGGCAGGCTGGTAGGGGCCTAAGTACATTACTTTGCCCATGGGCCCATGATGCTATTAAAACGGCTCTGACGTACATACAGGTTTCACTCCAGAATGCATTGACATATGACGCTTTTGGATATGCATAATTCAGCAGCCAGACAAATACAGTATGTCTTAGTGCAGGTTTATTTTAAAAGGAAGCTTTTAGGAAAATCATTGAGGCTTTCATTTCTCAATTCCAGTTTCTTGGCTATCACACTGACCCTCTGGATTCAATACCTTTAATATCTAACCCAGATGAAGCATGCAAATGAGGTCATCCATCACTTCCTAATCATGCAGCTTCTTTATCTTGTAATCCTTAACCATGTTTCAGATTAGGCTGGTGCTATGGCTGTTGCCGCAGGTTTCCTGTTTCAGGGTGGCTCCTTTCTCTTGCATCATCCTATATATAGTCCCTTGCATGCAGGGACTAGAGTTGTGTCTCCCTACACTGTGTGCATCAATAGAAACACACAGCTCTGTAGTCAAGGACAGCAAAGCACTCTCCTGCCCTGCTCCTCCAAGCTAACGGACTGGCTGGAGACTGCACTTCCCACTGTTAATTTTTTCCCATGAATACTGGAAGTTCAAAAAGAGCAGGTGCCAGCAGTATTAAAAAGGAATGTTGGACAAACGATCGTCCATTTTTTGTTTGTTTTTTTTTTTTTGCATGCCAGTCTCATATCCAAAACTAATAGGTTGCTAGAGTTAAGAAAATTCTCGCAAGACAGAATACAACTCCCGCGATGATTTAATGTATTGTATGCATGCGCGGTCTTGGTCTCTCTAATTTTACAGATGCATACTGTATTGATTAAACAAAAATCGTTCAATCTGTTATCGTAAAAAAAAAAAAAAAAAAAAAAAGTGCTTGTTCCTTTGGATAAGCTTGCATGAACTACCGTGGTTGGCTTTTCAAAGCTGTGTACTGACTATCAGATTATTAGGCGATTGCCCCAAAAGCTGTATTTTCCGTCCGATTTTCTCATCGTGTGTACTATGCTTTAGTCCACAGGCGTTCTGTTTCAAATTCTGCTTTATGCATTTTCCTAGTTTTTGGACACTATAATAAGGCACAGAAGTTCATTACTTTATATTTATTAGGTATTGTTTTGCGCTGTTTATATTTCTGTTTTTTTTTTTATTTAATAATTTTCCTAAGCCTTGCCTCTGTGAATAACATTGACTGAGGAAAAGTGGAAGAAGTGGGGAGGGTCTACTAAAGACTTAACTAACTAGCCCTAAACAGTAGGGGAGGACAAAGGAAGATACCAAAATCACACTATAAGCACGTTGCAATGTGTCAGCATACTACAAAAAAAAAAAAAAAAAAACCTCAGGCTGTTCAGCAGAAGACAAAAAAAACATGAAAGTGGAACAGAACAGCAAGTGCACACATTTTAACATAGTTTCCGGGGGAATGTTTATTTTATTGTGCTGAGTGTGTTAAACTAAAAAAAAACAAAAAAAAAAAAAAAAACTCTGAGGGTTTAGTACTACTTTTAGCAGACTATCCTTTAACCACCTCCCATCTGGCTGTTGTATATAAACGGCTGGACGGTGGCAGTGCAGGGTCAGGTGGCTGTTTATAAATGGTTTTCCCGCCCCCTGCTTGTGTGCACTCCCTGGGAGCGTGCAGCACCGCGATCCAGTGCCCGCCTTGTCCTCCAGTGGAGCACCGAATGTCATACGGGACCTCTGTGCCGATCATGTGATCACTGATTGGCCAATCAGTGATCACATGCAGAGTAGTAAGCAAGATGTCACTTCTGACAATATTGCTTACTAAGTGTGAAATCTGTGAATGAGGTCACATGGTACAAGGCTATTCACAACAGCCTTTATGGGTGTAAAAGCAATCAGTGTAAAAAAAAAAAAAAAAAAATCTACATCACCCCCTACAAGTAGTACATGGTGACACTGTACTGCTAAGGTGACAGTATGTAAAAAAAAAAAACAAAAAAAAAACAAACAAAAACATATAATATAAAAAAAAAAATAAAAATGTAAAAAAAAAGTTTAAAAATTATAATTTTTGGTTATAAACTAATTTGGGTTATTTTTTCTTTTTACTAAAAAAATAACGGAATAAATTTTGGCCAAGATTTATGATGAAATATTATTTATTTGCAAAATTTTATAAGAAAAACACTTTTTCAAAATTTTTGGACTTTTTCATTTACATAGCAAAAAAAATTAAAATGCCAGTGGTGAATAAATACCACCAAAATAAAGCTTTATCTGTCTAAAAAAATGCTAAAAAATTCATATGGGTACAGTGTTGCATGACCGCACAATTGTCATTCAAAGTGTGATAGCACTGAAAGCTGAAAATTGGCCTGGGCAGGAAGGGGGTGAAAGTGTCCGGACTTGAAGTGGTTAATAACAAAGCAATACAGCAATTAAGGGGAAACTAATGAGAATTCATTTCCCAATAGATGGCTGACGGGAATTATTATAAAGCCGCTCTACTTTGCAACAGGTTATCAAAAAAGCAACAAATAGAATCTGTTACCCACCTCTCTCTAAGGCCACGGTTTTAGTGCAGTCTAGAAGGAGCTGGTATGGCTCCCGTGATGGAGCCAACGTCTTCTTCCTTCGTCTTCTTCTCAAGTGATGGGCCAGGAAAATAACAGATATTGTGCCGAATGCAGTCGCTACAAGAATTTTCTTCAGCCCAGGATAGGTCCTTAGCTGTGGTTCAAAGGAAGGAATCACTTTTTAGATCATATATTTCAAATTGTCTTCGAAATGACAGCAAATAAATAACAATAGAATTTAAAAAATCTAAAAGATCCTGCCTTTGTAAAGTGGCCCTGTCACACGTTACATAGGCAGAATAAGTCGTATCATTAAAGAGTAACTCCACTTTTGTTGCGTTTAACCTGTTCCTGTTCTTAAAGGCCAGGTTAACGTTTTGAAAAAAATAAATAAAATAATATTTTTTTGCAGGTAAAAAGGTGGGTTTTTTTTTTCTAAGGAGCCTGCAAAGCATTGCACCCGTGATCAGCAGATTGTGGGTGCAATCTCAGGCTTCTGCAGACTGTCAGGATAGCTGTCTGCCTCATACCTTATACGGACAGGCAGTTGTTTGAGAGCAGGAAGGACAAAGAACTACCAGAGCACTCATCAGTGGCCTCGTAGTTCATTGATAACTACCACCCATCAGCCGCAAGTGATGACGGTACTTGTATTCTATTCATTCACAGGAAACTGTGAATGAATGACATGGCCGTGTATGCAGAGCCCTGCACGGCCATGCTGTTTATGAATGACATGGCCGTGTAGGCGGAGCCCTGCACGGCCATGCTGTTTATGAATGACATGGCGTGTAGGCGGAGCCCTGCACGGCCGTGCTGTTTTCTCATTGCGACAGGGGGTGCGGGGAAGGGATCCCCCGCCTGCTGTCACAGTGAGAGGGGGATCGGGGAGAGAAGGTACAGATGCTGGAACTTGTTACATGTTCCAGTCTAAACACAGGGTGAAACATGTGACTTGTTCCAAAGGTGAACTTATCCTTTAAAGCTGTATGTTCTACTATGTCCTTTGAAGCCTGAGTCCTGACCCTCTGCTCCTAAGAACAATATCGGTGTTCAATCCAATCAGCTGACACACTTGAAGTCTTCTAATGAGGAAAGTTACAGTGTCTGCATCCTTTTGAAAGTGATTAACCATTAGGGAGCATCGCGTCAAAAATATAATTTCTATTACAGAGGATGCCTAGAATTTTACTTGTATGACATATGAGTGAAGACGTCTGTGAAAATCGGTGAGCCAATCACAAAGGTAGGAACTGATCTTTCTGGGGAGGATCTGTACACCAGCAGTGTACAGAAAGCCTTCAGGTTGCCATATTGCATTGAGATATAGCCTTCATGCACACGGGACATTTTGATAACGCTGGTAATGTTAGCTGTGTAAAGTCACGTTAAAAACATGAGTTTTTCAGCTTTTTTTTAGCGTTTCTGCATTAGCGCTTAGCTGTGTTTTTTACAAAAAAAAAAAAATTTTCTGGGGGGTAAAAAAAAAGTCCAAAAATGCCAGTTTGCAGCATTTTGTCGCATTTTTCAGTGTTAGAGCATTTGTACAGCTAAAAAACTCATCTAGAAACCCACTAGTCCTGGGTTTTTTTTTTTTCAGCCAAAAAATGTCCCTGCCAAAAAATGTTGATTCCAGTCTATGTGTGCATGGACACATAGGATAACATGCTGGGGGGGGGGTTACTGGCTGTAGAAAAAAATGTAAAAAAGCCAAAAACAGCCGCTGTAAAAACGTCCCGTGTGCATGACGGCTCAGAGGCGTAGCTAGGATATTTTGCGCCCAGGGGACGATTGGCCACCTCATGACACCCCCCCCCCCGCTTCATATGGTCCCTGTAGACACCCCCCCCGTCCCGATCACATTGCCCCCACCCCCCCTTCATCCATGGCACTACTCACCCAGCTCGGCTCTCCCCTCATCCCCTCCGGCACATGCCCGGCTCACTGTCCTCCTCTCCCTGCCAGCTCCTCTCTCCTCTCATAACTCACTGTGGATGGCAGATGTATCAGATGACACGTCTGCTGCAGCCATTGCAGTGATCTTGTGACCTCATTTTGGCGCCCCTGTACCTTGGCGCCCGGGTACATTTGTACCCCCCGCCCCCCCCCCCCCCCCCCCCCCCAGCTACGCCTCTGTGACGGCTTACAGAAAATGATGGGGCTACAGATTGAAAAGCAAAGGTCATTTTTACCATTAGATTACAATATTGTTTGTGTAGCAATTTTATACACAATTTTTTTTTTTTTTTTGCTATATTTTTTTCACAAAAGCGGAATTACTCTTTAAGGCAGTTTATATAAATAGAGATTTAAATGCTCTCTGGGGACTTGTGTATATTTGTTAAAGACTCATGCATGCTTGAGCTCAAAAACGTTGCTTTTACAGGCATCTGAGATTTTTTTTTCTGCCTCTAAGGCTTCATGTACATGAAGCTCTGAAGAAGGGAGTACGTCTTCCGAAACGCGTTAGCCTACCTTACTAAGGGTCCACAGTCACTTTGGACCATCGCCACGGACTCTGTATCTCTGTTTTTATCTCCCTTTGGTTTGTGAGTATGCATTTTTGTGCTTTTAAATAAACTCGTGTTTCACCACGGTAATGTACGAAGAGAGTGCACCCTGTTCTGCTTTTGTTCACCTTCATGTACATGAGCCTATCCTGACCTCCAACCACGGAAAAAAATGCAAAAACGTGGCAACCACGCTACCATATTTTTGCCACGGTCAAAACATTTCTATCCTAAAAGCGATTCTTCCACGTTCAGGAGAGAGAGGTTTAACCTCACCTAAACACAGCAGCTCCTAAACTCTCTACAAATAAATAAACTTGCAAGCCACTGAGGTATGGTATACGTGTGCTAGATCGCTGGTGATAATGCCCACTCTCATGTGATGTGCGTTTTGTAACAAATAATTTAAATAATTACCGCGCTCTAGTTTAAAAAATGCAAATTGCTTATAAATAAATAAAATAAAATTATATATAAGTGATAGTTGATATACCGTGACTCATTAAATGAATAAAATTAAACTTGTGAAAAATAAATTCATAACATATTCACAGATCACTATATGTGCAATCCCTATTACCATGTGCATATCTTCCATTGGTGAACCTCCAAGAAATTCATCATATAAAAATGCAATAATATAATAAAGTGAATAAAAAAAATCAATAAATTTAAAAATAAAAATTAAATAAATAAAAATGAAAATTAAATGATAAAAGTCCAGTGAGAAAAAACAGCAGTAATGTCCCAATGTGCAAAAGAATATCCAGCCTAGATAGATATACTCTCCTTCAGTGTGAAGATATGGTCTTTGCAGTGATGCTGAAAACCTGTGTGATTACAGGACTGTGAGGGATACTCCCTCCTTTGATCCACTCCTTAGTCCTCTGCCTTTATATTCCTCTTGTGTCTCATGCAAAAAAAAAGATAAAAGATATGGTGTCTTATCCCAGGGGTAAAACAGCTTTTAATGTGCTTCCATATTGCACTCACATTTAAAATGATACATTTGCGCTTTGTTTTTGTATAAAATCCTACAGCCTGCAGCTGAATCAGAGTGAAGGGTGTGTGTCCACACACCTTCAGTACTCGCCGTATCGTAGACAGAATGCGCGATGACGTCACTGCCCCTCCCCAACGTGTTGCGCTACAGGGATTTCGTACCTTCGTCCGGGGGATGATGTGTCCTAAACTCTGCTAAAAGCCTATCAGTACATGGACACATAGGCTTTTATGGAGTTGAGTTTAGGAGCTTTGGCAAAAAAATGCCGAAAGCTCCTAAACTCAAGTTTAGGAGCTGCTCGTGTACATGAAGCCTTAACAAGCCTATATGTGACCATAGAGGAGTTTAGAAGCAGGGGCAGTAAAAAAAAAAAAAACAAAAAACAAAAAAAAAAGAAACACATCACTTGTGCGTTCAGGAAAGATTTTGAGCACAAAAAAAAAAAGCTTCCAAATGCCTAATTACACATTAAACGCACATTTAATACACATTAACCCTAGGAGCATTCCTGTGTTAATGCATTCTAATGGCCACAATTCTGGCCAATAGAATGTATCAACACCAGGACACGTAAGCATGCATGAATGCACATGCAAAAATGCAGCTTTTGATGCTGCTAAACTCCGTAGGAAAAAAAAAACATAAATACAATACAGTGTGAATGAAGCCTAATTCTTGATCAGCCCACATAAAACATATACAGAACCCTACTGTAAAAAAACACAGGATCATGAGGGCTGAGTGCTAATATAGCTATACCCATATACAGGGGTTAGACATAAATATGGAAACACTACATGATTTGCAGGTGTGAAAGTGACAGCGTGTTACACATTGAAAGTGGAAGTGATGCAACATTCTTTTGCTTCCGCTGTGTGATGAGACACCTAGCTAACAAGTAGGAAGCCTCTCTTTCCTCATTCACTGAGTGCGCTGCTAGTAATACGGAGTCATGTCAGAACTTACTGAGCTTCGAAGAGGGCAAATTGTTGGTACCGCTTAGCTGGTGCCTCTGTGACTGCAGTGGCCAATTTATTTGCCGTGTCGCGAGGTACAGGATCAAAGGTTATGGCGACATATAGTTTCTGGGAAAATATCGTCTGAGAAGCATAAGTACGGTCGACATGGGCAACTGACCGAAGGAGACAAAAGACATTGCGTAGGACTGTGATCCGGAATAAGAAAACAGCTGCTTCAATGGGCTGCCCTGTGCGTATTTGTCACCCAAAAGAAGATTCTGCTCCTTTTTGAGTGACAAACTTGCAATTTTTAATCGTTTTGCCGCGATTGCTGAGTAACAATTGTGGCAGAATCATGTTTGGGGTGCCATTAAAGGGTAATAGCACCCGAAGGTGCATCATGCGTTCTGCCACGATTTGGATTTCAAGTGGCAAGATCTGAATGGGGTTTATAGGCCTCCGCTCTTGGCAATAGCTCACTCAGGCACTAATCGCTGCATTGTGGGAAGGTGGAATGAAGGACATGCATGTCCATCCACCACCTACCTCCCATTATTGCAGGAGGTGGGCCTCTTGTGGACCCTCCTCTACAAGGTGTTGTTGCCCTTCTAAGATGATAGTACACACTTCCATCACAGGTGAAGAGAAGAGGGCCAAAGTGAAACAAAACATTCTCTGCTGCAAATTACAGAAAGTGCTGCAAATGAAAGAAACAACTTACAGTGCTACTAAGCGCACAACAGTAAAATCAGTCTGTATATGCAGTAAAGCTCACTGCAGAACCGAAGGGGTTAATGGTCTGCATTGTGTAAAAAGGCTGTTTGATCCTGTCTTCTCTGAACCTCCTCTTCTTTCACAGTCCGCAATCCATCTGCTGATAGTACAGAACCCTAGGAGGCACTGTACATGCTCTGTTTGGTGTGTATTGCTAGAGCGTTTGTTTTTTGGCACAGGGACAAATCAGAACTGTCCAGACAGAGGATCATAGGATAGCCAGAGTGACAATGAGAACTCCTCCAACAAAAATATTGATCAGTGGTCTGCTTGACACTGATAGGAGTCACAAGACTGCTCTAACTGCTGATGAGAAAAGGTATTTTGCAGTTTATATTTACTACAATAATTGCATTTCCATGTTGTGTGTACTGCGGGAGACCAGATATAGTGAATGCAGGGTCCGGGGAGACCAGATAAAGTGAATGCAGGGTCCGGGGAGACCAGATATAGTGAATGCAGGGTCTGGGGAGATCAGATATAGTGAATGCAGGGTCCGGGGAGACCAGATATAGTGAAGGCAGGGTCCGGGGAGACCAGATATAGTGAAGGCAGGGTCCGGGGAGACCAGATATAGTGAATGCAGGGTCCGAGGAGACCAGATATAGTGAATGCAGGGTTGAGGGAGACCAGATATAGTGAATGCAGGGTCTTGGGAGACCAGATATAGTGAATGCAGGGTCCAGGGAGACCAGATATAGTGAATGCAGGGTCCAGGGAGACCAGATATAGTGAAAGCAGGGTCCGGGGAGAGCAGATATAGTGAATGCAGGGTCCGGGGAGACCAGATATAGTGAATGCAGGGATTAGGAGACCAGATATAGTGAATGAAGGGTCCTAGATGACCAGATGTAGTGAATGCAGGGTCCGGGGATACCAGATATAGTGAATGCAGGATCCTAGGAGACCAGATATACTGAATGCAGGGTCCAGGGTTTAGTAACAGTTTAAACATGCACATTCATTTTTGTACAACATACCTGTGTAATGGAATTATAACAAGTTAGTGGAAAATCGATAATGCACTGAGCCGCCATTTTGAATGAGTGCTGCGTCTCTGACACGGCGTCTTCTAACGAGGCCATTCATCTCCTATGCTCTCTTACTGACAAACTGTGAAAGCAAAAACAATAATTTTTTTATCAGATTTTATCAAAACCTTTTAGAATTGTCTTTACATATTAAATAAGACAAGCAGATAATGAAATTGGACAAGCTGAAGTTTAGAATATACAACATATTCAGAACAACGGTCATGGGCCTCATTCACACGGTCATACCGATCTATACACTCATGTACCCACAGGGGACACACAGGTGTTCCATGCATTAGTGTACAGGCAGTCCCATTCATGTCTATTGGGACACAGCAGTTGCACAGACACAAGCATGAGTGTGCAATTGTGTGTCCCCAAATGCACACTGTCTGCATTCAGGGAAATGCACCCACATGACTGTCACAATGGGATCAGTGTCCACACAGCTGCTGAGTCCCAAAAGACATTAAAAGGCAATTCCAGGCTATATCTACCTAAGCAGAGGAGTAACTAGAACCTTCAGGGTCCCGGTGCAAAAAGGCATGAAAGACCCCCAGACCCTAGCCTGGGGCCCTTCCCTCGGAGCCTGGGGCCCTTTACTCCCATTGTGGGGCCCTTTATTATGGTCCTCCAGTGGGCCCCCTTCCTGCCCTTACATTAGAATCCCCCTTACATCAGAGTTCCCGGCGGACCCTGATGCAAAGGGGAACTCGGGGGACCCTGATGCTAAGGGTAATGTTGCAAACTCTAGTGTAAAAGGCCCTCTGGCCACCATAGCCCCCCTTACATCAGATTTGCACCTTACCGCAGAGTCCACAGAGTGTAGGGGAGAACTCTGCTGACTCTGACGCAAGGGTGGATGCTGGGAACTCTGGTGTTTGGAGTCCGCAACAGTCCACTTTACATCAGCGTCCGCAGAGTTCCCCTTTACACCATGGTCTGCAGAGTTAATACACTTAGTTAAAGGGGTTCACTGATGTAAGAGGGGAGTGAAGACACTGATATAAGGGGGGGGACGACTTTATATCAGTGAGGAAAGAACAAACAGAGGGCACACAGGCCTAGTGCATTACCATAAAAAAAGTGTAATGCACTAGGCCTGTGCGCCCTCTGTTTGTTCTTTCCTCATTCAGTATATTTGGATTCCCCCGGTCTATTTGAGGGCAGCAAGGTGTGCATGTTCCAGGACATTCTTAATGTGGTTGTAGCCTGCATCGAGTCCATCCCCAAGCGCAGGAGCATTTGTGTTTGCTGGGACTTTATATCAGTGTCCCCCCTTACATCAGTGTCCCCTCCATAGAAGGACTGACTACCATAGTCTGTGTGGCCTGAAGCTGTCACACACCGACCTGCAATTGCAGGCAAGCTTTGGAGCTCCTCTCCCCCACGCCTCTTTCTTGCAGTCGTTTCAGATTCATGAGAAAGGAACAAGGTACCATGACGTTGTTAGGATGGGATTTAGAAGCGGAGTGGGAGCAGGTTTAAGCGTAGTTAGAGTGGCAGAACTGCCAGCATTGCAAAGGTTGCACTTACTGTATGACCAGGCCAGGTCACAAGCCACTGTTGGGGATGGTTTCTAAAAGATAACCTCAGGAGACCTTCCCAAATGCCCAGAATGCACTGAATAATAGTAAAATATTAACTATTTCAGACATTTTGAAAGAAATAGAGAGAGCAGAAGCAGAGAGAGCGGTATGTGTTGAGATGACCTGTCTTTTCTGGTTGTATTCACTATGGATCCCATCATGAGCATAATGCAGCATGACGTTCACGTTCCTTCACAGGAAACCTGGAACTGACTGCGCTGGTGTACCGGGTCCATTGGAATACATGGAAAACACTTTGCATGCATTTCCGATGATGAAAAAAGGCTCTGGACAGCATTTGGATATGGAACAGTTAAAAAACGCTTCTAAACACAACGCGGTTAGCCGCGTTTACATGTTTACAAGCATTTGGCGTTTGAAATGCTGATAAAATCTACTCCTGAACGCAAGTTTGGTGCGTTCAAAAAAACGACTGTAAACTCAACTGCCTGTAAACGACGATGTGTACATGGACACATAGGAAAACAATAGGGAGAGTTCAGGGGCGGCTGAAAAAAAAACGCTGAACAGCTCCTGAACGTCAGTTTATCAGCTGCAGTGTACATGAACCCTAACAAGCTGGTTCTGAAGCCTCTGAAGGTTCTGATTACCTTAATGCATTCTAGTTATCTAATGGTGGATAGGCCGCAACATTCCAATAGCAGAGGACAGAGGAATAGTGCCACCTGCAGGCTCACACAAGAATTCCACCACCTAATGCTAGTTCACATTGATTGTGGTCACAATACTCGGCTTGTAAAACTTCAATCATTAAAGGAAACTTGTTCTAAGAGAAATTAGTGCCAATGGCCTGGGGTTAGGCCGACATGTGGTGGTGTTAGTTTTGGACCACTGACCTGATACATGAATGCAGCTCAGGAAAGTCACAGGCTGCATGCTTCCTCCATGACAGAGACTGAGGGCCCATTCACACTTGTGCCTTGTGGAAAAGTGTGCCAAAATGCAAGTGTACACACACGTTGCTGCAATGCATGGCAACACACTTGCCCTTGTGTGTTGCATTTCCATACCATTCATTAAATGGTGCCCTATCACATTGTACATTGGATCAAAACAGGCACAGCCCCTCCTTTCCCTCCTGCTCTTGTGGAAGGTAAACCCCTCCTCCTTTCCCACCCTCCTCCTCTTGTGGCAGGCACAGCTCCCCTCCTTTCCCACACTCCTCCTCTTGTGGCAGGCACAGCTCCCCTCCTTTCCCACACTCCTCCTCTTGTGGCAAGCACAGCTCCTCCTCCTTTTGTGGCAGGCAGAGCCCCTCCTCCTTTCCCTCCCTCCTCCTCTTGTGGCAGGCACAGCCCCTCCTCCTTCTCTTGTGGCAGGCACAGTCCCTCCTCCTCCTCTTGTGGCAGGCACAGCTCCTCCTCCTCTTGTGACAAGCACAGCTCCTCCTCCTCTTGTGGCAGGCACAGCTCCTCCTCCTTTCCCTCCCTCCTCTTGTGGCAGGCACATCTCCTCCTTCTTTCCCTCCCTCTTCTTGTGGCAGGCACAGCTCCTCCTCCTTTCCCACCCTCCTCCTCTTGTGGCAGGCACAGCTCCTCCGCCTTTCCCACCCTCCTCCTCTTGTGGCAGGCACAGCTCCTCCTCCTTTCCCTCCCTCCTCCTCTTGTGGCAAGCACAGCCCCTCCTCCTTTTGTGGCAGGCAGAGCCCCTCCTCCTTTCCCTCCCTCCTCCTCTTGTGGCAGGCACAGCCCCTCCTCCTTCTCTTGTGGCAGGCACAGCCCCTCCTCCTCCTCTTGTGGCAGGCACAGCTCCTCCTCCTCCTCTTGTGGCAGGCACAGCTCCTCCTCCTCCTCTTGTGGCAGGTACAGCTCCTCCTCCTTTCCCTCCCTCCTCTTGTGGCAGGCACATCTCCTCCTCATTTCCCTCCCTCTTCTTGTGGCAGGCACAGCTCCTCCTTTCCCACCCTCCTTCTCTTGTGGCAGGCACAGCTCCTCCTCCTTTCCCTCCCTCCTCCTCTTGTGGCAGGCACAGTCCCTCCTCCTTTCTCTCCCTCCTCCTCTTGTAGCAGGCACAGCCCCTCCTCCTCCTCTTGTGGAAGGCACAGACCCTCCTTCTCCTCCTCTTGTGGAAGGCACATCTCCTCCTCTTTTCCCTCCCTCTTCTTTTAGCAGGCACTTCTCCTCCTCCTTTCCCTCCCTCCCTCCTCTTGTGGCAGGCACATCTCCTCCTCCTTTCCCTCCCTCTTCTTGTGGCAGGCACAGCTCCTCCTCCTTTCCCACCCTCCTCCTCTTGTGGCAGGCACAGCTCCTCTTCCTTTCCCAAAAATGAAAAAAAAAAAAAAAAAAAACCACTTTGGGCTATACATACAGAATACATTATCCATATAAAACTGAACTCTGGTAATTGGACAAGCTCTACTCTTGCAGTGGGTCCACCTCCCCCCCACGTTTGGTCTGGGGGTGCGGGGATAAGTGCATTACTTACCTGATCCCTCTGTCCGGCAGGCACCAGCGCCGTTCTCTTCTGTCTGAGGCTCTGTGGATCATTATGTACAATGCAGGAATATTAACCCAGCACTGTACATAAGGAGGGGAGCATGCAGCCACGGCCCAAAGTGCCTTAGAGAGGACATTGTATTGGGCCAATCATGGATGAAGGGAGCCTGCCGCAGCAAGGCGTAGGTGATGACATGTATACTAAATACGCATTAACCCTTGCAGTGGAAGGGTGGGGAGCACTGCAATTCCTGGAGTTCAGCTTTAAGGCTTGGTGCACACTTACAGCCGAGACCAAGCACGGTGCATTTCCATGAGCATCCATGTGTTGTGTGTAGGGCTGCCTCACACACACGAGACACACGGGAAAAGTCCCTGTTTCACTTCAGAAACTGTGCCGCAACGGCATGATATGGTTTGGCACATGTGAAAATGTGTGCGTTTCATCTGAATGGGGGTGCCATCAACAATTGACCACACATCTGCTAAAGGCCAGTGCGTTTCTGTGCATTATGGGGAAAGCGCGCTATTTTGTGCATTATGGGGAAAGTGTGAGATTTTGTGCATTATGGGGAAAGTGTGTGTTTCTATGTATTATTGGGAAACGTGCGTTTCTGTGCTTTATGGGGAAAGCGTGCGATTTTGTGCATTATGGGGAAAGCGTGAGATTTTGTGCATTATGGGGAAAGCGTGAGATTTTGTGCATTATGGGGAAAGTGTGTGTTTCTATGTATTATGGGAAAAGTGTGCGACTTTGTGTATTATTGGGAAACGTGCGTTTCTGTGCTTTATGGGGAACGTGCGATTTTGCGCATTATGGGGAAAGCGTGCGATTTTGTGCATTATGGGGAAAGTGTGCGATTTTGCGTATTATGGGGAAAGCGTAAGATTTTGTGCATTATGGGGAAAGCGTGCGTTTCTGTGCATTATGGGGAAAGCGTGCGTTTCTGTGCATTATGGGGAAAGCATGCGTTTCTGTGCATTATGGGGAAAGTATGCGATTTTG